GTGGCTTTGACTGTGAAGCAGCTCAGCACAGGTGGACTCAGCATTTGTCTGTGCTGGCCAAATGGAGGAGCAGCCCTTGACCACACCTCCGAGTCTGCTGAATGTGCAGGGAGGTCCCTCCTCTCAGTAGTTACTGTACCCCATCTAGGCCAATGTTGTGAGAAGTTTGCCTCCTGAGCACTCTGAAATGTGTCCTTGGGGGAAAGAGGCTTGGGAAACAGCTGGGATTTTTTTCAGTGGCACATTAAGCCCTTGGGCTGTGTAGGATTCTCTGGAGGGCAAGCCTACCCTAGGTGACTACGATCCCTTGTGTTTGCCATGGCCAGAACCACACGCTGGCTGGCAGGAGCTAGCTTTCATCTCAAAAGCATTTTCCTGTGCCCCCTTGGCTGGAGAGGAAGCCCAGGAAAGCTGCAGGGCAGAGCGTGGGGATTTTTATACCCATCCTTTGGGGATTACAGAAAGAAATTAAAATTGAGGTGCTTTTTCTTTCTTTGTAACACAAGTCCAAAGGGTTTATCCCATGGAATGTCACTCTGAAGCATTTTATTTGGGGAACTGGGTTGAGAGAAAGCAGTCACCCAAGCCAAGGCCTTTAGGAGCTAGGCAGGAGATGGAACTGCACGGATGGAGGGGCTCTTCCATCCACGGGCTCAGAGAAAGGGTGGCTGGATGGAGGGCTTTCAGAGCCCATGCTTGTCACCTGCAGCCAGAGAAACCCATGAGCATTCACGAAGCAGCCCTCATCTGCCAGGGCCTGAGCCCAAGGAGACCCCAATGCTCAGATGAAGGGTTCTGATTTCAGCAATGGCCTTTCTCTGGGGCAGGGGAGGCCAAGTTCATCCTTTGAACTTTAAGGATCAGGAGGTTGAGTGAAGAGATGCTATCCTCCTACCTACCGCGTGATGGTGTGTGTGTGTGTGTGTGTGTGTGTGTGTGTGTGTGTGTGTTTCCCTTGCTTTAATAGCCACACGATTGGTCTTCTCTGAGAGCCGTGAGTTGCTATGCTTCTTCCCTCGGTTTCCAGTGCTATGAACAGTGCTTGGGAGGTAGGCAGTGCTCACTCATCCACTGGTTCATTCAATCAAACGATGTGAATAAGTGAATCTGTGTGTTGAAGGGTATGTAGTTGCAAACATGCGCATGCAAAATCTCTGGCCCATTCAGGAGACTTGATTTAGTTCTTCCCATGAGTTTGGAGTGGGGATGAGGCCTCAGAGAATACAAGCTCTAACATCTCACATTATAAGAACCTGTAATGAGCCAAGGCTATGTCCTATGGAGGTCAGAGTAGCATGGGGTATCCAGTCCCCAATAAGGACTCTTCAGATACCTCCTGGAGTCTAGATTGTTTTCACTGCTAAGCCATGCCACAGAACCCCTATCAAAGTGTGCTTCCCAGGGAGGCTCAATACAATGGTCCCTCATCCAAGCTCCAAAGAGGGTCACCTGAGTTTGGAAAAATCCCCAAACCCCATGTGCACCTTTGACCAATTAACTCAGAATTGGAAGATGGGATCACATATCAGTGCTTTTTAAAGCTTCCCAGACAATTCTATATTGTTTTTGCAAAGTGTAGTCTTTACAGTATCTGCATCTGAATCATGAGGGACACTTGTTTTAAATACCAGATTTTGCCCCCAACTTCAGACCTAAGAAGCCAGCATTGCTACACACTAGGACTCAGAACTCGTGTACTAACAAACTCCCCTGCTTGTTTGCATGAATTATGTGCTATGAGAACCCCACTGCACTGTGCATTTCAAATGTGTGACCCTGGGAAATATACATACGACATCCTCTGTGCATCCCTGTGGTCCCCACCACAAAAGTCAGCCCCCACCCACCTCAGGTCTAGAGGTCAAAGTTTACATTCTCCCTCGTTAGCTCCTGCTAATGAAGGCCCATGCTTTCTCTACAGTCTCACTGCCAGATGCACTTAATCATTTCCAGGTGCATTTCTGAAATGCATCCTGAGTCACCCCAGTACCTGTGGGCCTCACCTCTGCTGGCTCTCACTTACTAGGCCCTCTCACAGGGTCTGCACTAACCCACGGGAGCCCCATGCCCACACCGTAAGCTTTAGGGGCCTGCCTCCGCTGCACCTGGTCACTGGACTTTCAAGTCAGCTGAATCAGTTGGGACATTAGCTGCCCAGAAGTGCTTTACCCCCGTGGTGACTCCCTGACCTGCAGTAGACTGTCCAAATAGCAGTGGCTGAAGTGTGTCTGAGTCTAACATGGGGATCAACTTCAAGAAGTGGGAAACTGGTACTTGAAACCATTTGTATCTTCATCTCAAAAAGAATAGAGGTCCCTAGATCCACGTCATTGGTTTAGCCAGAGATGACTGTGACCTTTACGTTTATGACTATAGAAGTAGATGCTCAGATGGGTCCCCTCCCCAGATACAAAGGGTATCTCTTAAGACATGTCCAGGGGAGCTATCAGCAGCTTGTAGGCACAAATAAGGGACTGTCGGCCCCCTCATTTTGATACGATGCACAGCATCTCCACAGTTCTGGCACACAACCTAGAGATGACTTGGTGGTGTCTCCTACTCAGAACCTGGACTGGTGGTAAACAAGACATTTACAAAATCCAGGCCCTCAAATATCCTATGCCTGGCAAACTGGGAATCATGTCTTCAGCTGAGGGTAGACACAGAGAAATGTCTTCAGAATACATCATTCACCAACGATTTGCTGGTGCTTTTTAGATCAGTCTGTTTTACAATAGAACAGAGGAAGGATGGGTGGGAGGTAGTTAAGCTTCCTGGGAGAAATAATTGTGGATATTGACAGGTTACTATTGTGAGTAAGCTAACACAGGGACTGTCAAAGTCTTCGTTCTTTCCAAAGAGCTTTTTGGTTGCAAAGTCTAGAAAAGACCCAGGATTGCTAACAAATTCTTGGAACATATTAAAATCCACATTTGTTTACCTCCTTCTGCTCCTCTATCCCACCATGCCAGCAGGTCTAAGTTGTCTATTCTAGCATCTTCTCTATTGTGGAAAGAACAATAGAAGTTGGGTGTTGAATTTAAATAAATATTTAATTCCTGAAAATTATCTTATATGTTTTAAAACACTCTTTAAAGCTATTTTTATTCTCTAGAAAGCGCTTATTATAGGTAAATTACACATTTTACTACCGGAGCATTAGGTTTGCCATTAGTACAAATTTAAGGCACTACAAAGACCAGTAGATAATGTTAATTTCAAATACAGAAACTAAATATATTTTGTGCCTTTTTATTACTCATTTTCTTTTAAGTTTTATTGACTGCTTTTTATCTTAACTATATGTCTTTACATGCTGCAATCATAATGCACTGTAATGGTATTAATATTTTATAGAATCGGTATTTATAGTTCTTTATTTAGAAACAATGCAGTAGGTCTGCAGATATCTGAGCCCGTCTGGAATGGTGCCCTCCAAATAATGATAAATTACTTGTGCAGTATGCCATTTGCTAATTATATCCATGATTTACTGCAGAGCAAGACTTAAATCATTCATTTCAGTCTTGCGTAACAGTGCCATAAAATTTTTAGGTTTAAAAATGGTTTCCATGTGTATAATTTAAACAAATTTTAGAGCTATTGTATACACAAAATATTGCAACCACCCATTTGTTACATACTTTGTCTTTTTAAACTTCTACTTTTAATGATCACTGTGGTTGAAATTATTATGCTTAATTTTCATAATCATAGCTTTTAAATCTACAGCCGTTTTCACATGTTAGATAAAGAAAAAGATAGCTAATTGTGTGTAGATAGTATGTCATTCCTGAATAGTCCCAAATGGTACAAAATCATTAAAAAAGCTTAAGAGTACGAATTATTCTTCTATTAAAAAACAGTTGTTCTCCAACTAATTATTAGTTTGAGCTGCTTTGTTTCAAAGAACAAATGTTGATCCTTCTAGCCTTGTTCTGCACACCAAAATGAGATAAACACTTTTTCTTTTTCTCCTATCAAAATCTTGCAGGTGAGAAACCCTACAAGTGTCCTCACTGTGACTACGCCGGCACCCAGTCAGCATCCTTAAAATACCACCTAGAACGGCACCATCGTGAGCGACAGAATGGAGCGGGGCCGCTGTCTGGACAGCCCCCGAACCAAGACCACAAGGACGAGATGTCCAGCAAAGCATCTTTGTTTATCAGGCCAGACATCCTGAGGGGGGCATTTAAGGGTCTCCCCGGAATCGACTTCAGAGGTGGCCCTGCCTCTCAGCAGTGGACATCAGGAGTGATCTCCTCCGGAGATCATTCGGGGCAGGCCACCGGCATGTCATCAGAGGCTCCTGCAGACGCCCTGAAAGGCACCGACCTTCCTTCCAAGAGCACCCACTTCTCCGAGATCGGAAGAGCTTATCAGAGCATCGTGAGCAACGGCGTGAATTTCCAGGGGTCCTTGCAAGCGTTCATGGACAGCTTCGTCCTCAGCTCCTTGAAGAAGAGGGACATGAAGGACAAAGCCCTGTCAGATCCCTCTTCCATGAAAGCCCACGGAGCTGAGGGTGGCGAGGAGAAACCCAGCGGCAGGTCCTCTCAGAGGAAGGCTGAGAAATCTCAGCACGAGCCTCTGGACTTGTCCGTGCGGCCGGATGCCTCCCTCCCGGGCTCGTCGGTGACGGTGCAGGACAGCATCGCCTGGCACGGTTGCTTGTTTTGCGCTTTCACCACGTCATCCATGGAGCTGATGGCCCTCCATCTGCAGGCCAACCACCTGGGAAAAGCGAAACGCAAAGAGAATGCCGCGGGGGTGGCCATCAACTGCAAAGAGCAGGCCCGGGAGGTGGGCAAGATGGCTCTGCTGCCCACAGCACAATCCAACAAGGAGATGGGCCTTTCGGGGATGATTGGCTCTCTAGACTCTGCTTCTGAGAAGATGGCCCAAGGACAGGCCAAAGAGACCCTGGGGGACCAGAAGAGTGGCCCGTGGCCCAGCCACGTGGACCCTGCCTTTTGTAACTTCCCATCAGACTTCTACAAGCAGTTTGGCGTGTACCCGGGCGTGGTGGGCTCCGGGGCCTCCGGTTCCTGCTCCAACAAGGATCCCGATGGGAAAGCCCACCCCGAAGAGGACGCCCCAATCCTGATCCCCGAAACCACAAGTAAGAATGCTACCGATGACCTCTCCGATATCGCCTCCTCCGAGGACATGGACTCCTTCAAGGGAGAAAACAACGACGAAGAGGATATCGAAACCGAGCCCGAAATGATGAGCAAGCCCCTGTCTGCCCTCAGCAAGGACAGCAACAGCGACGGCGGGGACAGCCTGCTGCCCACAGGCACCCCCCAGCCCGTCCAGGGACTAGTCTCACCTTTAGCCCAAGCGTCTGAGAAGCAGTGGCACAGCCCAGGCCTTCTTCCTGCCCAGGACCCCTCAGTGGGTCTGCCAAAGCCGGAGCGGGGGCCTCCGGGCCTTGAAAAGCCAATGAACATGCTGTCGGTCCTCAGGGCCTACAGCTCCGATGGCTTAGCAGCCTTTAACGGACTTGCAAGTAGCACAGCAAATTCTGGATGTATCAAGAGGCCAGACTTGTGTGGTAAGTTTTAGAATCCTCTTCCTTTAGTTCATTTCCCAAAACATCAGTGCTGACCTGTGCATTTTTTTTTTTAAATGAGGTAGACTGACCCATTAGCAAAAAAAAAAAAAAAAAAAAAAAACCAAAAAAAAAAAAAAAAAAAACCAATGCTATATATGCAATGTAGACAATCATAAAAGTCGATTTCACTCCGAAGTTTCCAAACTCATCCTTTTGGGTTCCGATTTGCATTATAATGTTCTCACATGCCTGTACTGAAAGGTATGGAAAAGGGGGTGGTGTCTCACGTGTGAACTCCCCTTACTTTTCATCCCTAAGTGGAGAAAGGAAGAAAAACAACTATTAAAAAACAAAAAACAAAAAGAGACGTGGTAACTTGCAAACTTTTCAGTATTTTCGACTTTTGCAAAAGATGCCTGAAGACACCTCCTTATTGCTTTGCTAAGCCAAATCTGCTTCCTTAAACTTTCCTTTAACTGACTTAGAGGATACTAAAATCATATCACACTAACCACAGTAGATAAATGACGTGACCTCTCCAGACAGGGAGATGGTTTCGGGGTGTTCGTGATTCATCTTTAGACATACCAAATGGTGGTTACCCGACTTTGGCCTTCTGCTGTTGCCTTCTGTCCGTCTGTGTGTCTTTCCCTGTCTGTTGTTCTAACAAGAAATGTACATTGTCAAGTCTGATTAGCAGTGTTGTGACTCTGTGTGTCTTGGATTTACGCCTGTCTGATCTTGTAGCAAACTGGTACTTCTTTACCTCCTTCAAGAAAATGGTTACCCCCTAAAGTGGTCCTAAATTTTAAAACATCCTAAATTTGAAGCTTAGAGTCCAATCAAATGCAGCTTGGGGTGGTCAGGGAGGACCCATGCAATTTTCTTTGCACCCGGATGTTCATATTTGAAAAACCTGTCTCCAAAGAGAAGCTCAATGTATTATTCCCTTTGAAACCAGCCCCAAATATTCCCACTAGAGACAAATGGCCATGGTACCTTTCCATCTTTAATTTATGAATGGATTTTTTTTGTGTGTGTGTGATTTTTACTTCATGTGAGAAAGGAAAGAAGGAAATAGAAGAGAGTATTTGTGAACATCAGCATCTTAGTATTTCTTTTAGCACAAAGCAGGATTCAGGAAGCTAGACCCTGGGTTCATAATTTAAATTGATATATTTCTTTTACCCTCTCCTTCCCCAATTCACTAAGAACTGGATCAAGCAGTTGGAAATATTTTTTGAATTGTCAAAAATCACTAAATGGATTTCTGACAGCTCAAAAAAATATTGACAGTTCCTTATGCTGAATGATTCAAAAGGCCCCATTAACCAGTACCCCTAGATCTATTTTTAGTCACATGTAATTCATTACTTTTGAAGCTGTTAAAAACAATATTTAAAAGAAGAAGAAAAGGGTTTTATGCCAGTCCAAATTTTCCCCTTTTTCTTCTGGGGGAGCAACATTTCAATTTTTTGTTTTTTTTTTTTTTCATTGTTGTTCTAAGTTTATGATTGGGGTAGCTTCTTTTTTTTTATTGTTGTTTGGGATTTTTTTTTTTTAAAGTCTATTTTCGGTTCTTTCAACTACCTTCTAGGACCATAGTTCCTGCCAGGAATCTATGCATCAGAAAAGATCAAAACCTGGCATGTGCATAAGCTCATTATTATTTAAATGAGCTCATGTTACCCCTATTAATTTTCCCATCTTCCTATCATTGCTGAAGGAAGGCTGTCTGCGTGGAGGAAGCTTGGCCAGTGGTGTCCTTCTACACCAGGGATGGTGGAGGGGAGTCTTTTCCCTCTGAGCAGCCTGTTGAGAACAGGCACACCCTCACCCCCAACCCCAAATAGCAGCTCATAACGCATCTCTGACATTTCCAGAGAATGTGCAAAAACTTTGCTTGGTCAACCTTTTAGCCACTGAGTGACAGACTCTGGGATGTAAGCCGTGGACCCTCTCTCTCTTTCAAGGGAGATGAGGATCCTTGGACCAGCTAGGCTAGAAGGCTTCTTGGTTGCTTCCCCCAAAAAGGTTCATGTTCCTCTGTCCCTAACTCTGGCCACAAACCGCCTGTTTGGGGAACATCTGACTTCTGTATTCCATCGGGCCTCCTTTCTTCTGCATCCTTCTGCTCTAGTTGGAAGCAGGCGGGGACAGTGCTTCTCTGTCCTTTGCATTTGTTTGGAGCTGGGGGCCACTGTTCTGTTGCCTCCAGGAGGATCCTGGCCTCGTCCAGTTTTCATTTCCCTGCCCCCACATCTGGCCTACCAGAAGTGTAGTCCTCTCATTTTCATGCTGGCTGCGGTGGCATCCTTGGACCCAGAAGGGCCAGGCATAAGTCATCCTTGCTAAGAGTTAATATCTCAGAGGAAAACTTCAATCCACTGGGTCATGATTTTTTTTTCCCCCTTCAATCTAATTCACTCTTTTCGTAGCGTTGCAAGAAGCGCAAGTGACTGTTGCAAGCATCAAACCCCAAATGGCTTCACTTTGCAAGGGTGGAAATGATATTGGCATAAGGAATAAAATACTCCTAATGTTTATTCCCTCTTCTCTGCTCCACTTAAAAGTAGATATGGATTTTCAAACAGGTCCACAAGGTCGATAGCTGATCTTTCTCATGAAGCTGGGCTTAGCTAAACCAAAGAATTATTCCTGTGTTTCTCATCTCAGAGTTTGGAGTCTGATTTTTGTCTGGTTAGTAAGCTCAAGTCCACCCTTAGATCACCCTAGAAACAGGTGGAAAGAGTCTTGTTCCTCTGTGTAAGGAAGAATAATGTTCTCCTGGGGTGTAAAAGTGTTTGAAGAGACCATCAGTAAAAACCTTAAGTCTTGTAGACTCCCCTGGATCTCAGATCTCAGAGTCTCTCTTGCCCTAGCTGGTTGGAGAACAAACCTTCTCGCCCTAACTCTATGGGTGATTCTCTTTTAGTGGGTTGTACAAACAGGTACTTCCCTTAATTATTGCATTTCTGCTTCTTAACTTTTAAAACTTGCCCTGAATTCCTTAGTGTCAAAAACCTGGGGTCCTGGCCCGAGTGCTTTTCTAACCAGAATGCGTAAGAGAGAGGACAAGAAGAGGCCACCCTAACCACTTGATTAGGGAGACTCCAGTAGCACAGGCCAATGTTGAGAATAGGAGTGAATTTTTAAAGATCTATCCATGCAGGATAGCACATTTGCATGTCGGGGACATGTTACAGATGATCCTGAGGAGGAAATTGAGCCACCTTGGATTACGCTGGAGGACATGTATTGTTGCGGTTGGAGTGGGTCAGGTCCCACTATGGATTTGATCTCGTTACATGAAATTCTCCTCGAATCAAAGTGTTAGCTTCTTGAGATGACTTCCTGGCTCCAGGCACAACCCACACTTTTTTTATTCTATCAGTTCTATAACGTACAAGGGCCCTCCAGTGCCAATGGAGAACTTGAATTTGCCCTGGGTTTTGTTAGAATGGGTCTGACCTTGGTTTTGCAATAAGACAGGCTCCACGTGAGTATTCAGATTGGGTGGGGGGGGCAAGGGCAGACCAGAACAATGTGCACAACTACTGACTGGGCCGGACAGACAAGCCCCCCATGTCCAGTCTGAGAAACAGTGATGGCGGCACTGGTCAGTGGATAGCTTGGAGATCCAAGAAGACATGGAAGGTCCAGGCTTTGCCATGCGCCCAGACGATGCTGAGGCCCATCTGCAGAGCACCTTTTTCTAGCTACATAGGAAGAAGGGTAAAGACCACGTTTCACCCCAGAGTTGGTGCATGTGGAGAACAACAGGATCACCCTTCCTCCTTCCCTTTGGAAACTGAGACAGCCAGGGCGTGAAGTTGTTGTGTTTGTTTTTCATAAGCAGGGGTTGCTCTGGGTCCTTCAGGAGCCCCCTAGGGGCAGGGCTGATGGGAGAACATTAAAATCAGATTAAGGGAAAGGCAGGGAGAAGGGCATAATCCTTTTGCCCTGAGAAGTCCTGTCCTGGAATTACCATTACTTAGGGAAACCCAGTTGAGCAAGAAGAATCTGTCAGCATGTCAGCTGTGGACATGAGGCCTACGTGCCATGTAGTTGCTTGCTAGTGGCCCAGGAGGGAGCCAGTGGGAAGGCAAGACCACCCACAGGAATAGTCCCAATATTCCCAACTGATTCTGAGGTGGTTGGGCAACTGGCTTCCCCAATTCAAATTATGCCTGTGACTGAGGAATAAAGGTCCTCTAGGCTTCCACCGCAGTGAAAGCATTGGAACCCACCCCCAAAAGGTAGGGCCCATTGAAACATCTTCACCTCGTGTACTCTGTAATGTTCGATGAGCTGGACCAGGATATCCAAACTGAGCTCTCTTCAAATGTGACTTTGGTCCTCCTGTGATTTCTCAACATAACATAGGTTGTTTGAAAAGATCCACCCTTTTGCCAGCTATACGTGGGCAAATATTTTCTTCAAGGACAAGTGAGTAAATATTTTAGGCTTTCAGGTCATGTGGTCCCTGTCACCATTACTCTGCTCAGACTACTGGCACAGAAGCATGCAAAGGTAGTATACAGATGAATGGGTGTGGCTTGTTCCTATAAAACTTAATGAACTAAAGTAGGGGCAGGCTAGAATTGGCCCATGGGTCTTAGTCGGCCACCTCCAGCTCTATTGTAAAGAAGGACGAGTTCCCATGGTGAAGATGCAGGAAACCTTCCTCTGCTGTTCCATTGGACAGTGAGTCCATGCAGGGAGGACCCACATCAGTAACTGCAGGGCTCCATCTATTGCCACATGACGCCAAAGAGACTTTCCAGAGACAGAGGAATTGTAGACCCAGATGGTACCTGTTTCTAGAAGGCCATATCTCTGCCTAAGCAGGAAAAAACTTTCAGGAGAATCATTCCAGAGCACCCCCACCCCACCCCCATCACAGCAAGTGTGCATAAGAGTGGAAGATGGTGTAGCTCTGTCTTGGCTTCCTGAAAGACTGTTTCATCATAGATGGACAGAGTGTAGGAATGGAAGAC